CTTTTCCACTTTCACGACTCATGTATTGTAGCTTGGTTGGCTTTGATGAATTTAATCTACATGAGTTACAAGAGTGAGACTGAAAGTGATGTTTTGCTTTGAAGTAGCACATCATGTCCATAGAATGAGGACTTCGTCATTAGAATTGGAATTGTGAAATTTATAAATGTCTTGGTGTGCTCATTTGAGTGCATTTTGGTTGTCTATATTTGATATGTAGGTAGTAAATTGACTTTTTGAAGCACTTCTCCTTAGTTTGTTCTAGAAAATTGGATGTGTTTATAAATACATTAGGCAACACTAGGATATAAACAGTCAGAATTTATTACTTGTTTTAACGACCTTTCTCCTTTTCTTTTTCTTCTTCTGTCCACTTTCTTTGGACGTCAATGGGCAGGGCTTTGTTATGAATTTGCAGCCATCGGAAGCTCAAGCAGGTTTTGATATTCGAGTCCCACCAACTGCAGATGTTCTATCCTTGGAGACACGAATAGCAGAGGAATGGGCACCTGCTAACCGTAACATGACCTTTGAGGTGAGAAACTGAATGATGACACTCGATCTCTTTACCGCTTTTGGATCGAATCAAAGAACCTGTGTGGTTGCATAATATTTAGTTCCTCTACTTGTGTCGATAGTTTTTATTTCTTAAATGATAGTTATTTGGGATTAATTCCTTTCTTTTAACAGTATAGTCCTTGGAGCTCATTGGCACATTAGTGGCTGTAATTCGAAGTCCCAGCAGTTATAAGTTTTTCCTGGAATTGGACATGATTTTCTCCCTCCTAACATGAAGGTTTTCGATGAAAAAAATGTGTGTCTTAATGAATGTGTACTCAATCCTGGGATAGTTGTGGAATACTACGTTTAGTGTGAAAAATCACATATTAAGTTTCCAGAGTAAAAATCGCATACTTCATGCTTTAGGTTTAATTTGGAAACTGCATATATCTTCATGTTAATCACTTGTATGTAGCTTTGGTGATGCTTGAAGCATATAATAACAAAAAATAACAACAATGAATTTTTAACATAATAAGTGACGTGTGCTTTCGGCTTATCAGTTGCACATCTGCATGATACATGTTTGTCTGAGAGCAGCTCTAGAAATTTCCATCTATTGTGATGATTGGTTATATGTTCTAACAGAATGTAGCTCGGACAGTTCAAGGTGAAGTCCTCTATATACGACAAGTTCGGGAAGCCAATTCTTACAGCTACTGATGGTTCAAATCCTTGGTGGGCCTTATTAAAAGAGGCGATTCAAAATGCAAACGGAAAATTAGGAGAACCTGAAATTTTCCCGGCCTCGACTGATGCTTGCTATTTCAGGGAAGTTGGCGTGCCGGCTATTGGCTTTTCTCCTATGGCCAACACTCCCATTCTACTTCACGACCACAATGAGGTGATCTTTCTTTAATCAGTTTTTGGCTTTCTTAAAAAAATTCATAATATGTCTGTGTCGACTAAGACAGCATTTGGTGTATTTCATCTGAATGACCCACCTAAAATGAGCCTTGATTACTTTTAGTAATGCTAAGGAACCAACTGTTGACTCCGTTAAGGAGTCAACAGCCAATGGGGCAACTCCATGTGGGGCTGAGCCAATGAGACAACTCCATGTGGGGGCTGACAGCCCCCACATGGAGTTGTCTCATTGGCTGTTGGCTCCTTAGCATTACTGTGATTACTTTTTCAATACAAATTCAGGATTATTTAGGAAAATGTGCTTGTTATGTTTAGTTCAAATGGGAAAATGTACTTGTTATGTTAACCGGTTTTATGATTTAACTATGCATTTGTTCTCCTGTTGCAGTTTCTGAACAAGGATGAGTATTTGCGAGGAATTGGGGTTTATGAGTCGATAATCAAAGTATATGCATCTTACGTTGAGCCTGTAAAGGATGAAGATTCCAGAGCCGAGTTGTGAAAAACCAGCTTCAAACTTTTTTCTTTTATTCCTGTCATTTTTAAATCAGGAAAAGGCCAACCTCGTTCCTGGAAATTGAGCTGCTACTCTCTAGAATAAATTTAATTCCTGTTTGTAATTATTTTTATTTTCCAAGTAACATAGAACTTCACTCTTCATCTATCTACTTATAACTAAATATGATTAGAGTTAAAATAATACAAAAATTGACTTCGTATGATTTACATTTGGACTTTTTTTATGTTGGTTAACAGTTTCCCGACCCGATTTTAAAACCAGAGAGTCGAGGTGGGTTCTTGGCCTTGAACACTTATTCTCAACCTGATTCAGTACGGGCCCGCCCGTTAAGCTAGATTAACTTGACATTATGAGAAAAAAAGAGCACTTTATTGTGATAACATAAACTGAAAATCTGTAATGGCATACATTCTCGTGATCAGCTACAATCTACATATACCAAGTTTGTCGGCTTAGCAAGGAATTGAGGAAAAACAAGAAAAAGGAAAACACACACACACACAAATCGAGGACAAGTTCATCTGAACTGGAAAAGATGGTAGAGACAAAATGTAGTTTGCTCTGATGTGTCAATGTCTCCCAATACTGCAATCTACCAAGTGATAGTTAACCGGCCTTGCAACCTCATATGTCGTCTGAAAAGGTCTACAATACAGAGAGAACTTGTTAGTTTGATCCTGACTTCAAAATACCAGTTTATTTCGCAACAGCATCATGACTAAGTTCCCAATTCACAAATTATTAAAAAAAAAAAAAATGTGAGCCCAGCTCTACGCGGAGCGTAGTTTTCAACAGTCATGCACAAGCTGCAGCTATATGAGGGTTTGCATTCAGGCATAAAACACTAATGGTCGATGAAGCAAATCTAGTAATGAGCTCAATCTTTAAAATCCTAGCATTTGGAAATTTTTGAAACTATAAACGGGAAAGAAAGAGGTCTTAGACTTACTGAAATTTGGAAAAGATTACAGAAGCTCAAGAACAAGGGCCGAAGCACCACCTCCTCCATTGCAAACACCACCGACACCATACTTCCCATTCTTCTGCTTCAACACCTAAGACAACAACAAATTTGAGATAGTCGATTAACATGTAGAATCATCATATTGACATCTGATCTTCAGGTTACAAAATGACTATTAAAATATTATAAGAATTTGCAAAAACTCCCACTACAAATAGGATTATTATGTAATGTAAATCGAAACATACCCCAAGAAGTGTGACCAAGATGCGAGCCCCACTGCAACCGAGAGGATGCCCCAGCGCTACGGCTCCACCATTTACATTCACTTTCTCCTGCAAAATAAGCATTTTTTTTTTTTTTCAAAAAATGGAATTTGCCTATCTCAACACCAACAGGATATAAAATTTTCACCAAGAAAAATTCTTGTTTAATAACATACTAAATAACTTGTCTATGGAATCAATAAATGGGGGAAAAGGAAAAGGAAAAGGAAAAGGAAAAGAACTCGTTATCTTTCAAACTTATAGGCACCCAATTTTGACATTTGCTTGGCTTTACAAAATGCACCTTCAGGAATGAAATACTTGTTCAGGGGATGCATTCAAGGGATAAGGTGTCTGTTATTATCATGTGAGTGTATCTACAATTTCAAAGGATAAAAAGAATTTCCTGTAATTCAGCTAACTGGGGTAATTCCTGTAATTATCCTTAATTTAAGTTGTTTGCTATTCGTCACTTTTCTCATGTAAACCTCCACCCATATGGCAGAGACAGACGGAGTTGAGAACTCACTGTACTAAGACCCAATAGCTTCTGATTCGCAAGAGCCACGACCTGCAAGAAATTACATTTTTCTAGTAAGACCTCAAAACTTTTACCGGGTAGACCTTTTTCTTGCTTAATAAAATGAAAGAGCAAAGCAACATACTGCAAAGGCTTCGTTGATCTCATAATAGTCTATTTTGGATGCTTCTAGACCAGCATTTGAGATCGCCTTGGGGATTGCAAGTGATGGGGCAGTTGTGAATAATTCCGGTGCCTGCTCCACATTTTCAATTGCAACCATCATGAATTCAAAAGAGAGTGCAGAAAATGGGACTTCTACAAAATCCACACACACGAAAAACAAAAATAATAATATTCACTTACATGAGCAGCATCGGCATACCCAGAGATCCTTGCAATGACTTCGAGTCCAAGCTGCAGAGCCTTCTCTCCACTTACAAAAACAAGGGCAGCAGCTCCATCACTGAAAATGAAGTAGTCAACAAACCCTTCAAATATTCTTGTAAAATCTAAAGAAGAAACTTGACTCGATTGAGAAAAGGAAAACGTAAACTAGCGTGTACTAAAGAGGTGAAGGAATAGACGAGACCTTATGCTGGATGCGTTTCCAGCTGTGACAGTACCGCCGGTTTCCTTGAAACTCGGTCGCAGCTTCCTCAACTTTGCAGCATCAAACTGACCAGAAAAAATGATTTATGTTATAATTTGGTCGAAATAAGCTAAACAGCAGAAATCTATAAAGTAAGACAGTAATTAGATAGACACATAATTGATTAATTCACCTTTCCAAGACCTTCATCTTTATCAACGATAGTGGATGGTCTTCCTCTTCCCCCAGAGACCTCAACCTGCGGGCACAAGATTATATATTTATAATGCAATTAAAAGAGACAAGCGAAGTTCAGAAGAAAAAGTCTAGTTATCTTACTGGAACAATCTCCCATGCAAAAGCACCAGCCTCTTGAGCTGCAATTCCACGCTCAAAGCTTTGGACTGCATAATCATCCTGTACAGATAAAGCAGCATAAACATGAAATCAATGGATATAAGCATCACGGAGTAAAACTGTAACAAAGCCACATAACAAGGACGAATGGCTATATAATTTTTCTGTAAACACGGAGCATACACACACCTGCTGCTCTCTTGTTATACTATGGTGTTCAGCACATAACTCAGCACAAACCCCCATGCCAACGTCGCTATAAGCATCCCACAATCCATCCTTTAACATCCCGTCAACAAGAGAATCATGTCCAAGTCGAGAACCTTTTCTGAAATATGCAAGAACCAGTAAATACATATCTAGCACACTTATAATTTCACATTCAGGTTCACACGTAACTACACATTAAAGCATTGAAAATAAAAGAAGTAAACATGATATGCGTAATAAACAAATTACGCAAGGATTTCGCTCCTGATCATCATTATCTTGTTTCCTCTCAAGTAACACACTCCAGAGAGCATAAGGATACAAAAGAATCACTTCACTCAACTACATTAAAAATGAGCAAAGCCTTCACTAAGCTAATAATATTACCTTGCCTCGGCCAGGTACTTTGGGACATTAGACATGCTTTCCATGCCACCAGCCACAACAACATCATTGATGCCCAATTGGATACTCTGTGCTGCTAGCATAGTCGCTGTAGGGGCAAAGACATAGAATTTAACACCACATGTGAAAAGCACTATTGGGTCATGAGATTTTTATCAGAAAATAAAATGCATGCCTCCCCGAAACATCTAATAAAAAATCTTGGTAATGCGGTTTTATTTTAATTACAAGACCAAACCTTTCATTCCAGAGGCACACACTTTGTTGACAGTTGTGCAGACAACCGTATTAGGGATACCCGCGCCTAATGCTGCCTGCCTAGCAGGAGCCTGTCCTAAATTAGCACTAAGTACATTCCCAAAGAAAACTTCTTGAACAAGAGATGGATCGATATTTGCTCTCTTCAAGGCACCTATAAGTGAGCAGATTGCATACCGTAAATAATAAACAAAATAAAATGAAAAGGATAAGACCCCTTCAATTGATAGACAGAGCAGTGGGTTAATAATCTTACTCTCAATCGCGATAGATCCAAGCTTGGTTGCAGCTAATGATGAAAGAGAACCAAGAAATCCACCCATTGGTGTTCGGGCAACACCAACAATGCAAACATCTACAGTGATTTAACACATATTAGAGCAGGAAAATGCAGTGGGCAGTGCACACACGTACGCGCACACACATCTATAATCTAAATATGAGGTATTGCCAATTCAACCCCCACCACACACACACACACACACGCACACATATAGGGGAAGACAGAGAGATTCACCTCTTGGCTTAATTGAGTCCCCTGCAGCTGCTGCTGGTGCCATGATCTACTTTTGCACAAATTAATACCTGCTATACTAAATCCCATCAGATTCCAGAGATACAAATTAAATATATACAAAGATCCAAGAATTTGATATTTTCAAGAAGGCAACATCATTTGCATGATCCTAAACATTCTCAAAATCCATGTCACATTCCTTCAAACCGCTAGCATGCCTTGAGAGGCAAACACCAATTCAATAATTCGATTCGAGATCTAATTTACCCAAAAGTGTACAGTAACAACAAAAAGATCTTCTTTTTAGCAACTAATCTGAGTGCTTGAGTGGGGTACATTCCCCTTCCCATCATTAACACTCGCTTTTCTCATATTTCCTCTATGTAATAAACTCAACAAGTACAGATCCCCGGCATGAAAAGATTACCGATCCAGAAAATCAGACCTAAATAGAAAACAGATATCTCCGGAAAATCAAACAAGTGTGCGTCAAATTAACAACCCCTTTTGCCAATACAATTTGATCTCTTGAAACAAAAGAAAGAAAGAAAACGATATTCAGCCATGGCAGACGCATCAAAGCATGCAAGAGAAAAAAGATGGTACCTGGAAGAATGGCGAGGACTGTGAGAGCTTATTGGGTTAGGCAAAGAACAAAGGTAGAGATTGTACGTGTGTGTATTATGTATATATAGAAAGAGGGGAAAATCGAAAATGATACAAGTGGTGATGTCATTTAAATGTAACTTGCCACTCGCAAGGCTTATTAATTCACTTTGTTTAGAGCTGGTTCACCTCGCTTAGATAATTTTACGTATTTTTCAGAACTTTTAACATGGTTCAAGTTGTTAACTTTATTTGGTTCGGTTTGGAAATTTGATAACATATCGAGACGAACTGGAGTATTAATTGGATTTGATTGATTTCAAATTCGAAGTAATAAATTAATAGGTTCCCTGAGGTGGAATTTCAATGAGTGTTGGCTTTCTTTTGGTTTCAATTACTAATAATATTTTCTAAACATGGTTAAAAGTGGAACTAATAAATTTCAGATGCACTAACACAACTGTAGAAGAACTATAGAACGTGGGAAAAGAAAGGAATTTTAGGAGCCTTTATTGACTAATTCGTTACAACTCAATGTGAATGGTACACTAACAAACTCTATTTTATAATTTGTTAATGTTGTAGCTATTTGATTCTGAACTATCATCCATATGTTTTTCATGACAAATTCAACTCAATAACTTTAAAAAAATTAGCTAGTGTGGATATCAATTGGCCAATTTCCTATATTAACTAGAGTAATTTATATTATTTGGATCCTTAAATACTCTCTTTTTCGCCAAACTTTAGACGATAAAATCTATCACATTATTTTAATAAAAATTCATATTTATACTATAAAATATCATGTTTCTGTTTATATAATTTATGAAAATATGGCATATTACAAAAAAGTATATACATCAAATATCATGTTGAAATAAATATAACAGAAACTCATAGCAATGCTATGAAATATCATGTTTTTATTTTTATTTATTTCCTAAATATAATATTTAAGTGTTAAAGTATTTTAATATATATGTTAGTCAACATGCTTAACAACAACACAATGTTTTCCATTGGAATAAAATGGAAAAGAGATTAAATTGAATAAGAAAAACCTGATCCATATTGCTCAATTTTGGTGGGCTATCATTTTTAATTACTACATGAATCCCCATTTTGGACTTGAAAAAATTAGTTGAGTTTAGCATTTCCTATGTTTGCAAATGCAACCATCTTTGAGTTTGCCATAAACGTGGAGAAGTAACAAACATTTAATTAAATGCGTTTGCCATAAACGTGGAGAAGTAACAAACATTTAATTAAATGCCATTCTCAGAAAATAGTCATGATAATGAAACAATGAACTTGACTATGGAAAGAATAAAATAAAACGGATTTTTTTTGTTGTAGTTTTCACATACTTGTATCATAGCTACTACTCTTGACAAATAATTGAACATTCAAATTTACGAATAGATTTATACGATTTATACTCTTTATCTGTCACACTGTTTTTCTTTCTTTGTTTGTCTTTTTTATCCTCTAAGCAGATATGTAATTTTGTCAAACTTATCAAGATTTTCCACCACCTTCATGGATCTCAAATGGAGTGAGGAAAACAAAGTCTANCAGAATAAATATGAAATAGCCAAACTGGTTTTCACATAAAAGCAGGTAATTAAAAGGAGTTACATCATAAAACGCGGTTAAGAGGATGGCAAACAATTTCTTTTCTTTAATCCCTACCAAGATTATTCAAAATAGACCGGGCACAAACCAACCAATGATTCAAAATAAACCTGTATGGGCACAAACCAGTCAATGAACCAAACAGCCAGTACCATACATTTTTTTTCTTTTTAAAAAGCTTCTAATTTTAGAAGAAGGCGATTGAGCATAGCAGAAGCTAAAAGTAGTACTTGAAGGCATTTGTGGTGTTTGATTAAAATAGAACTTTGGATGAATAGGTTGTGAAATTAATTTTTGAGTTCATAAAATTAAAGTTGGAATAACTTTATAAAAAGCCTTCATCAACTTTCAGCATGTATCGTTTTCAGAGTGGATGACTTCAATACTTCATAGCCAACACAACTCTAGGCAAGAACAAGAAGAGGTATTTTAACAAATCTTAAAGTAAATACAAATCTTAAAGTAAATTAACCAGGAAGAAGAGATATTTTAACAACTAATTTAAACAAATCTTAAAGTAAATACAAATCTTAAAGTAAATTAACCAGGAAGAAGAGATATTTTAACAACTAATTTATCTTAAAGTAAATTTTTTTCTATATTAAATTTGTAGTAAAGAATAATTATTAACCATTTCAAAATGATGATGCTAATAAATTTCGCTAATGCTTTGTGCTTTGAGTTTCTTGATATATATATATATATATATATATATATATATATATATATATATATTTGCTAGTAACATTTTATGACTTAGATTATCATTGAAAATAACTTTTTATGGCTTAGATTCTCAATTAAGAATGTACTGTAACTTAATATTCTAACAAATAAAGTTATAATGTAGGAAATATTCGATTAATCTTCTAACAAATAAAATAATCTTGATGTTGTAGGAAATCCTTGATTAATATTTAGACAAATAAAATAATATTGATTTGGTAGAATATGCATACTTAATCTTCTAATAAATAAAAGTGATATAATGTGTGAGTAACATGATTTTAACACATAGTATTATATTAAATATTATGTCACATTTTATGTCAGTATAGTATGATTTTTAAACTAAAAACCTCATAATAATCAATTCTAGCTAATTCTAGATATGTCACCTAATAATTTATCGAATTGATAGTTGTTGCCGTAGTTCAGTTCATGTTAAACGTGAAAGTGGATATGCTCTTGGCCTCGTCTTGTAGTAGAAAACGGTGGATGATGATGTTTGAATACGGTGTTTTTCTCCAGTAGAATGTTTGGTCGAAATTGAAACAGGGTCCACAGGAATCTCCACCTACAAGCTAGAACGCTGGTGGCAACTGAGAAATTGGTCGGGAGGAAAGAGAGAATGTGGCATATAGCCTATCGATTTTTTGGGGCGCTCTACTGAAATTTGGTCGGGAGGAGGAAAGAGAGAATGTGACATATGAAGTCTTTCAGCCTATCCATTGCCGGCATTTTACGAAGCTTGCTTCTGGGGGTGCTCTACGAGAGTGTACAGCCGTTCCCCTTCCTCCTTACCCTAATTAAGGCTGTCTCACTATACACAAAAGGTACACACAGTTCAGCAGAGTATAAACAAATTTAGGAGATGAGCATGCATAGCTATTTCACCGGAAGCCTTTAAGCTCTTCTTCTTGTTCACGAGATGGAGATCTTCCTATTGTACACCAAAGCTAGAGATATTATGGTAAACGTCCTAAATTATGTGCACCAAACATCATTTAATATCCCCGGGAGATCGGGTTAGAAAGTGAATCAAATCTCTTCCTTGTAAAGGATTAATAATTTGCTCTCACTAACTAATGTTATCTGATAAATTCCCAATCAAATCTCTTCCTTGTAATCACTCCAATTATTATTATTATTTTTTTATATGAATTATAACTTTAAAATTAATTTTATCTGATAAATTCCCAATCAAAATAGCTTGGTTTAATTCGTAAAGTTATAAAAATATGTGGATAATACTGAAAATATGTAATAGTTGGTGTGAAAAAAATATTTCGAAAATGTTAATTTAATTAATCTGGAGGATTTGAGAATGAAAATTTAATTTATGCAAAGCATAAATGTCACGCCACAATTCACTTGCAATATTCACAAGTTGGTGTTTGAATTAAAATGTCTTCGCCTCGCAATTTTTCTTCCCCTCCAAAAATGGGGGTTTTGGAAGGGCGATAAATTTTAGTGAGTTCAATTGATATTTTACCTCAATTATATGTATTATTTTTCTTTTTTGCTTATAAAATAATGAAAGGTAGAGTTGCTACTCTTACATTACTTTTCTTCCTCGTCATTTTTGACCAAATAATATTTACCACTTTCCATCCCTTCCTACCTAAACAATTCATCCAAAGGTAAAATTATTTTACATCACATCCACTCACTACTCCTCCCCTGAGTTGAACAAAACATATCCTTATAAACTGATGAGAATTAGCCTAAGACGTTAAATGTGAGTATGCAGAAGGAGCACCAGAAAATGACCAACCCTTTAAAAAATAAAACGAGTCTTCTTTCCCACCATAAATCCATCCATCTGTTTTCGCTGGACTACATACATGAATAGTAGGAATATCATTAATCCTTATGCATGTCAGTGAGACGTTTTGCTACATTTATAGTGTCATAGTTACCCCTGCGGAAAATGGCTAGCAATGCTCGAACAAACACAAAGAAACAGCACACTGAAACAAACGGGCTATATACACCGAAAAACACTAGCAAACATTTCACCAGCCAAGTTCCTAATTATACCGTAAATAACAAGTGAAATATGAAACAGAGAAAATCCTATAAATGAGTAGTCAAAGTTCCAACATAGTACTGAAAATAGCAAGTGCAAACCGGAGGGAATCCCTGAAATTGTGACTCATGTTCCTACTTTATACAGAATAATAACAAGTGCAGAGAGCAAATCCCAGAGTTCACAATTCAAGTTCCTACAGTCTACTGGAAATAACAAAAGCAACTATGAATCAGAGAGAATCCCAAATAAAGTTTGGAAATACTTGAAAGCTCCCAAAAGACACAACTGCAAAGCAATCCTGAACCCAAAACTTTCGTGAGACCCCAACAGATTAAACATAGTCACATCTTGGGCCGACAAACATCTGTCAACTCAGCTGCTTGCTCGGGGCCTGACCTCCGGAACCTTTTCTTGTGCCGGGCTACTGATTCTCGATACGCGGGACCTCAGCAATGACTCGTAAACAAATGAATTCCCCTGCATATTGGTTTTGTCAAGGGAGAACATCAAAATAAACCCCCAAAGCCAAAGCCCCTCCATATATAAGTACAAACAGAGAACACCAAAAGTAAACCCAAAAAACCCCTACATATATATATATATATAGCGCATCAAAATGAATCGCCAAACCCCTCCATGTATAATGAGAAAATCGAAATTTTAACGGCTTATGTTGATTGATTGATATACCAAAAAAAGAATAATTCTGAGAACATCAAAACTCACACGCACACACACACGGACGGATACGTTAAGCAAGCAGTCCCCCATATGTTAACCCTCCCACACATATACAGCACCACAATGAATCACCAAACTCCTCCATGCATCATGAGAACATCAAAATTGTCACATATTTGCAAAATCTACCGGAGTAAATCAAAACTCACACACACACACACACACGGATACCTAACGCAAGTAGTCCCTCGAGACACGCCACCCACCATGGAAAAAGTTCGGCATCCTGCCCCAGACATCAGCCAAGACATCCCTGACCCGCCACACAACCTCAGGAAACTCGGGCACCTTCAGTTTGGCCACAAAATCCCGAACAAACTCGACCCATTGCTTTGAATAAAAGAAGTAATATGCATTTATCAATCGCAAGGCCATCCCTGACTTTTCGTGCTTGTCGGCGACAAATAGCAACGGGTTCAGGACAACTGTGAGACCGATATTAGCCATGTCGAAATGTTTGATAGATATCACAGCCGAATTAACTAAAGCCATAATGTGGAGGAAAATGAGGTTGACCATGACCAGTTCCCAGCCATCCTCCGAGTAGAGGGCCAGCCCAATCGGTACAGGGTAGTACAACGAGTTGAGCACGATACTGAAAAATACTTCCAGCTCGATTTTCCGAATGTGGTGTGTAAACGGCAGCAGGAGTAGGATGAAGATGTATGCTGAGGTGCTTGTTACCACTTTCAACAGCTTCAACGGACAAATTTCTCCATGGGGAGCATCCCGCGCGAGCTGAACACCGACCAGAGCAAGGAAAGAGAGCGAAGCCGTGACACTCCATCACAGCCTCCTGCTGATTTCACTACAAACGAACAAAGAGAGGAGAAATTAAGCGGCTGGAAAATAAAGCTGACTGCGAAAATCGAACCGGTTACCATCGCTGAGCCGCGGCTAGGGTTCGTACTGCGACGGGAGGAGGCCGCGGGATTCGTTTGCTCGAAGGATTCAGCGCGGTGGAGGGACAGGAAGGATGTCGGAGTCGGCCGGTGGTTGTTCGGGGCTCGGCAGTGGTCCTTCAGCCGCCGGTGGCAAGCGGCTAGGGTTCTCCAGTGCGGAGAGGTTGGAGACGTTTGGTGCGAGCTCAGGGCCGCCGGTGGGGGAGGGTGAACGGAGCATTGTTGGCGTCGTTAATGGGTTAAATGAGAAAATCGGTCTGACGATGGGTCGCAAATCGAAATAGATTTCATTTTATACCAAATCCCTTGGGTCCCAATAGATCGCTTTTTGGGTTAAAGAATGTAAGGCCAATGTCTGGGCCGGTGGAAATGGGCCGCGAATAGTGATACCTTGACACTTGACAGTAGTAAATGGATCGCATTAACAAGCTCTCCAATGGGTTTGGACGAAATACTTGTATAAGATGTGATATCAATGACATTCGTCATTCACATTTTCTTTTTTTAAAATAAATTTGTCACGCACAATATTGTTTGACAATGTGTATTTTTCACATTCTTGTGATTTTTTTGTAATTTTTTAGATCGTTTTTTAATTATTTCAATTTTTTTTTGTTACTGGTTATATGTTAGAGCAACTGCAGTGCTGCTCTACAAATGCCACGCTACTCTATTCTGGCGCAAATTCATGCCCCAACGTTGTTCCACATATCTGCGCTACTTCACAGATTGCGTGGCACAACTGTAGCAATCCCAGATTTTTTTTTATTTAAGATATTTTAATATAATATTAATGATAATTTTTTGTATAATGTGTATTAATAAATGTATTTTTTTATTAAATAACTTTGTGTAATGTATTTTTATACTAAATAATTTTGTACTTTTTATTTATTGATGTAGTATAAATTTATTTTATAATTTTATAATTTTTAAATGCTATATATGAATAAAAATTCGACACAGAAAAATAAAAATAAATAAAACACATTATTATTATTATTATTATTATTTAGGTAATAAAAATTTATATAAGATTAAATATATATATATACCATTTTATTTAATATAAAAAATAAATAAAAAAATAATATATTTGATGTAGAGTAAAATATAGAGATAAGGGAATATGTGAATATGAACGTTTAACTCTAGAATGTTTAACTCTAAAACGAGTAGAGTAAAGTCCAGATTAGACATACGCGGAGATGTTAATTTGCGGGTTCTTCATTTGCTTGAGAGATCTTACTTGGCTTTTTCATATTTCCTCTTTACGGGTTGTTAATTTTTGTTTCCAATGTTATCTGATTTAATACAGCTTGAATGCTTGATTGATCTTTGCCTTTGTCGAACTTGCTTTGGTTTTAACAAGAATACGAGGTAGAAGATTTAATCCTGCCCTTGCAACCTTAAAAAAAATACACTACTCTTGAATTGGTTTGAAGTAGCCGGCCACCAAATCCTACACTCCCATCCTCCTACACCCATGCCACCTCCTCCGATTTCGAGTTCATCATCTCCGCGGCCCCCGAAAATTCTCCTCCAAATCCTACCCATTCTCATGGCTCAGCAACGCTAAATATCCAGGCAATTTTTGTAAGTATCTAGAAGTGGTTAATTTGATGCATATATATCCATGCTTAATGTATCTAAATGTGGTTGATTTTGTAGCGAATCTGATGCATATAGTCCCCCTTGCTTTAATGTATCTGTTCATGTTGTAGCCTCTACAAGGATGCGGTGGACGCTGACGAGGGGAGGCGTTGGAAGGGGGACAACATGGTCCAGATCCGTAAGAACAAACTGAAGTAGAATCTACTAAATAAGCGATGCGGAGGGCTCTAACAAGGACAACAATTCTCGGTGTCTCTTCAATCATCTGCGGTCGAGAAAAAGGTATATTATTTCTTTGGTCGGTTTTGAATTCATTCTTTAATGAAGGGTTAGTTTTTTCATTGAAGCTCCCATATTAAGATTGGCGTGTAAAATGTGTGTCTATGATCTTCCCTTAAATTAGAAATGCTTGGAGTTTTGCATAATAGAAATAGCCGACACAAGTGTACTATATAAATTGTCGTTCTTTATGCATAGAAAAAACTCATTATACAACTAATTCAACAATCACTCACACAGAGAAAAACTAAAATTCTCAATCAAGCTATCTATAAGTAGCAACTAATTTGTTTAGATGGTGACTACATTCCCAGAAAAACTAAGGAAAAAATGAATTCTTATAGACGAGTGCTTTACTTGATGGTAATATAATAATTTGTATCGTGCTTGTCCAAGTACTTTCTTAGGGCTACGACGACCGACAAAGTCATGTCTGGCCTAGACCAACCTTTGCTGCACTTTGAATGTGTTTCCTAATCCGTTTAACTGATTAAGTTATGGTATGTGCAGAAACAACTGTCTGTAATTTATTAGTTTCTTGTTTTGTCTTGGTTTGGATTAGACTCCAATAAACATCATATTGGTTTGGATTCAGATTTTATTAGTTAAAGGCAATGAGCAGAGCATTCCTTTTGTGGTTGCAAAAAAATTGCATGTCCAATTGATTTATAATACCCAGTTTCACAGGCCATCTGCTCTATCAGGATAAGTCCACCCAGATGAAACGTGTCCCTCCTAATCAGGGTCTCTATTAATAAAGGCATTTTATACATCCATCTGAAAATTGTTTCCTTTGTGCTCATATTGATGCTATATTATTGGAAAATTGGAAAATTGTTTATGGAAAATTGGAGAATTGTTTCCTTTGTGCTCATATTGATGCTATATTTCGTTTGTGGAAAATTGGAACAACTTCTTGAGGATGTCCGGAATATGCCAGTTTGAGATTAAAGTATGTCACCAGATACCATCAGTAAGTTAATAGTTAAAGCTCATGATTTATTGTTTATGAGTATATGAGATGAATGATGGATTATAATAATACGAGCAGCGTATTCTTCCATAAGCACATGGGTTAATCACAAAAGTTACTCGGCGGCATTTTACCTAATAATTCCAGAAAAGAGAAGTAATATAGCATATCCTTCCCTTTTCCTCAGAAATTTCCGCAAAGTCGTGTTGTATTGATTGAATTTTAATCGAGACTGCTTGTATAGGATTGGAATGATTGAAAAATGTTTGCTTTCAGTTTCGCCACATTGGAAGCAGATTTATTATCAGAATGAAGTGGGGACCACGGTAAGAAGTGCTTTGAGTTGCGTATATATTGTGAGAGCACTTATTTGATTTTTTTTTCTTTTTTTTTTTCTTTTTTGGACTCCCTTCATCCTAAGGTATTTGCACTTCTTATTTTGTGGGATAAAGGAGAATTTCCCGCATTTTATGTGGATGGTTAAAATAGTGAGGCACTATCACTTTATTGCCTAACCTCCCCCTTTTGAAATGTTGTATTTCCTGTTTGATACAGGCTTTCATAGCAACCCTTTCTCTCGTTCGTTTCATCTGAAAACCACCGTGTTGTGGAGAACCTATCTAGCAATGGATGGTAGGAGAAAAGGCTTCCAAACAAAGGATTTGTCGTGGGTACATTGTATGAGGGCCTTTTTGTTCTTTTCATTTTGCATTTCATCTTGTGCCTTAATATGACAGGTGAATGCCTGATTTATGACATAATCTTGTACACACAGGACATCCATTTGATAAAATTGCTGTACAAGTGTTTTTGCAGTTAGTTCCTGAGTTGGTTGCTTAAAAATGATAAGCTCTTTATGTAGTTGGATGGTTCTAGAGTTTATGAGATGCTAGGTTTCAGATTAACGATCATCAGTTTGTTCAATTGTTTAGATAAAAATGAAAAGAGTGTAAGAGATGCTGGTGATAACAATTATACCAGTTAAAAAATTTCTTATTTGAGAATTTTTAAGTTCTCAAACATTTTATGCAACGAATATTTTTCAAGTTTCACCTTATATGAGTTCCCAATAATTATAAGGATGATTTTTAAAAGTCTTTCAAGTCCACCTTCACTTTTGTTCTTCCATGCGGAAAAGGAAATTTCATGTGTCCTATCAGCAAATAAAAGCTGACAATTTTGAAAACGTTTAAAAGCCTCTTACTTGAAAATTGATCATTTTTCATGGTGAAGTTAGAAAGATACATTATATGTGTCGTTGAGTGTGTGGTGGAAGTGGAAGATCCGTACTTCCGCTAAGGGATGTACCGTTAGATTACACATACTCACACATACTCATACGAGTGTGTGCTTATCTATTAGATTTTTATGAGGTTTTGTTGATTCAACAGTAAAAATATAATAATGAGCGCGATAGACTCAATTTATGTATAATTTTAATCTATTTCTAGACTTGTACTCAAGTAGTGTTGGCAATATCTTCCTACGTCATTTACTCTATTAACTAATGCAATTAAATAATTTTATATTGTTTTGATATCATTATCACCAATAATCAAAATGGATTTGGTCTAACACAAGTCACAACTACTTCAGACTCATGTTATGGATTATAGGGTCTCAAAATCGCTAGACAATGGCATCCACAGTTTTTTCAAAAAACCGAAAGTCTACCATCTAAAAAATCCGGTCCTATGCATTAACTCTACTTGAACTAAAGTGTCGGTTTGATTTTTGACTATGTTGTAAGCTATTTAATTTTACACCTCTGCTTTATTGGATCTAGGATTAGATTATTTAGTTAAAAAACCAATAAAAAAAAGACCCCATAAAAAAAAGTAGGAAGTAAATTATTCAAAATACTGACAATTTCACATGTAATAAGGTAATTGATGGTAACTCTAGAACAAGTTAATTGAGAGTAGTGCAGTTACAAATTTTTTACCATTAAATCAACACACACATACAACAAAGATGAATGTTGATCCAACTGTTAAAAACGCGGGCAAATTGAAATTCACCATAATTGAGATTTTATATTTGAAGTGAATATAACAAAGAAAAATTCAAGTCTCTGTCCAAAATAAGGGTCCACCTTTGAACATGGTTCATAGCCCATTTATCACTCCAAAATGCTTTATAAGAAGGATATGCCCCATCAACTGAAAACTAACTAAAACCTTTTCTCTTCTCACAACATTTTCCTACCCAAAATTCCTTTCTTCCCCATCAAAATTATGGCCAACCACAATGAGCACCACAGCAACATCAAAAGTGTTAACCATCCAGACAAATTCTACTATCTAAAGAAGGCCTTACAAGTTCTGTTTTCACTTTCCATTTTTTCTCTCTTATTCTATCACCCATCACTGGCTCCTTTCTTTGTCCAATCCTATGATTATTTTAGCTCCAATATTTCCATCAAATTGTTCACCTGCACCACTGAGAGAAACTGCATATTCCTTATCTGCAATGGGATTCTTGTGCTGATCATTCGGACATCCGGGCTCGTACGCAAGATTGCGCCGGTCAAGATAAGTCCAAAGGATGTTAGAATTGATGTTTGTAATATGGAGGAAGTTGATGAGGCAAAAGGAGCAAATGCTGTTATGAAAGTCGAGGTCTTGGAAGTAAAAGGAAGCGATCGTGTGGAAAAAGGAGGGATCTTTGATCCGGGCCACGAGATTGATAAACGAGAAATTGATCATGAAGCACAAGAAGAAGATGATGATGATGAAGAAGAAGAAGAAGAAGAAGAAGATGGTGATGAGAATGATGATGAACAGCTCATGAGTACTGATGAATTGAATAAGAAATGTGAAGATTTTATCAAAAGGGTGAAGCAAGAAATTCAGGGTGTGTAGAAACAGGATTAATCAAATCAGCATGTGGTGATGAAAAAGTGGCCTTTTCTTAGTGTATTTATGAGGTAGTAATATGATGTAATAGTTTTCAGTTTCAACTTTTTTATGTACATTTCTTGGGATTTTAGATTTTCTTGAAGGAACTTGAGTTGATGTAATTGAATTGAACTTGAAGTTGCTGCAGTATATGTTTAGTTTTTAGCCTCTTCTGATATTCTCTTAAAAGCAATTTCCAATTTTACTTGTGCAATATATATATTTACCTTGGATTTGGTTATACTTCTTGGACAGTTTATCAAATGAATAAACTGTGACCTTAAAAAAAAGGAAAAAGATCAAATTTTGAACAAACATCTATCTAAAGATATGATACCCAGACTCCTAGAGATGTGGTTGACTTATTGTGATTGTAGGGCACATAGTCCAAATAAATGGAAACAAGAATAAGGGGCCCTTCAATTAAAATTATATTACGTACATTATAATTATTAAAGAAAAAATTAATTAGAAAGGGGCTGTAAGTCCATTTAACAATCTGTCTTAGTTGCATGATTTTAATGTCATTGATTGAGACGGATCAATGTCCTTATTTGAAATGGATTGTTTTAACATGAGAAAATTTTTATTGTTGTACCTACTGAAAGATTTAACCCTAACAACAAAAGTCAATGCAACTACGTGGAAATTGTGTTCATGTGGTTATTCTCTGTATATGAGTTAGCGGTAGTCGTGTAGAAGACTTGGACAAGACGTAAGGGATCAAGACTAAGTAGACCAATGTTTAGACTTGAGAGTAATAGTATGCAGTGGGTTGTGGATTTAATTTTTGGATGAGAAAATTAAGATATTATCCTTTTAAAAAAAAATCATTTTGTTTTTTTATTTACCAAGGTTTTGGTTGAGAAACTTAAATATTACTAGTAACTAAACATACTAACATGCAAGTGCAAACATACTAGCATATTATAAAAGTGGAATATTTTTCAACTAATTACTTAAGTATAATGTNATTAGTACAAAACTTGATAGAAGTGCTGCACAGTTTCTCCGGGATCAAAGGGCTAGTTAATATGAGATAAGTAATAGTCCACCTACAAATTCTTTTTTATTGCATATTTTAGGTGATTTTTTTTAATATACTAATTTTCATTGTTTATGTATAATTGATTGGTAATTTATTTTCGTCATAGTTTCTAACTTGCATTGTTATTTTTTTTTCATGATTCATTTAAAAATGATTTATTATTTCGTATTGTTACAAAAAATATTACATGTAGTGAATATGTAAAAAGGTCGCCTGTTGAGCAGGCTTGTTAATGAGGAAATTCATATTTTCATTAGGATTGGGCCTATGGGGTATCCAGATGTTCTTGCTTCTCCTGGTTTGGGCTGAAACCGAAATACTAATATATCATTCTGACAAGATTTAAGCACCAAATGTAGGAGGCCCAAAGCATTTGCAAGCAGTCCATTAGACCGTCTCTGTCATATTCACCATTGTATAATATAATCAATTAACTACAGAAGAACATATTACTTTTTTAAAATTGCAAATAACCTGTATGAGATTTCAATCACACTATGTAGGATAAAATAAAGTTTTCACTTTTCAGGATGTTACTAGTAATAACAGCCTCTCTCTATGTAACTAGGCAAAACCACGGGTAGTTTTTGTGATTACTCCTTTTATCAACTAACCAACTTTTTGCTAATTAAGCTTACTTTATTTAAGTGGGATCTCAGATTTTTTAATAAAATTTCCTTATTGAGTTGGGATTTCAAGAAAGTAATCTTTATGTGTCTTTTCATACACTATTATTCTTCCCTAAATTTTAACTAGTACAACACCCCCGTGTATTACACGGGTATTTGTTAAAAGAATATTCTTAAATTTTAAAATTAATGAGAAAAATTATTTTAAATTTTATTTACTTTTTTACAAAAAATATATATTATTATACATTTTAGAATGACACTTGTTACTTGTGCGATTTACATGTGTTATATTATAGTAATTTTTATCTTATATCATATAACTACTTGAAATATAAATATATTAATTGATAAATAATTTTATTTTTCTAATTAACATTAAAAATAATTTTATCATTGCTATAAAGATATAATTTATTTTTCTTATAAATACAATATGGATGTTAAATCGAAGCTCATCAAGAGATGATGCCAACAGGTTTGCTGTGAAGCCAACAATTGCCTCTATAGTGGAGTCAATCTCTTATATACAACAAGTAAACCATTCCATATTAATAAAATTATTAGTATTATGTAAGTAATCAATGAATATGGTATGATTTACTTGTTGTATATAGAAGGTTAGTACCACTATGGAGCCAACTGTTGGCTTCATAGCAAAACTGTAAGTTGATACATTATATATGTAAAATTAAAAAAAAAATACAAAAGTTATTAACATTTAAAATATATTTGTAATTCAATGGTTATAATAGGAAATGATATTAAAATGCACTTAATACATGTAACATGACCATAAATAATCAACCTATTTATGGATAGTCCGAACTTAATTATTTTTGGATTAGAAGTAAATTAAAATCTACTCAAACATAATAACGAAGTATGCAATTTTGCCACATAGGATCTTGAAGCACGCGAGCTTGTCACTTAGGCTCAACACGCTTTGAATTTATAGGGATGATGATGATGGGATGTGATCATTGCATGCATCTCCTTATGATCTCACAAAATGGGGTATAGGGTAATTATACTTTATTCGTTAGAGGGATTTTGAAGTGTGCTTGTAACAAAAATCTATTCATAGTTTTTCAACATTTTCTATTTACACCACATGAATATGGTAAGAGTAAGATGAAAGTGTTTGTGCTCATTATTAGGACACATCAAACAGTACTTTCTTGGCTGAGTATTCAGATAATAGGAAGATCTAGAGGTGGCCATTCAACGGGTCCGGGCCCGGCCCGGCCCGGCCCGACGGTCCGCCTTGCCGAGGCCCGAACCGAACCGGACAAAGGGGTGGTCCGGGACCGGTTCTGAGCCCGGACCCGCCGGTTCATCGACCCGGCGGGCCAAAAATAAAAATAAATAAAAAAATTACAACACAGTTGCCGGCGGTCGACCCGCGAACCGGCCTGGCCCGGACCGGAACCGCCGGTGGAAAAAAAAAAAAGCAGTGACCCTGGACCGAACCGCGACCCTTACGGTTCGGTCCAACAGACCGGCTCGAATATGGCCGGTTACGGGCCGGTTCGGCCCGTGGCCATGTCTAGGAAGATCAAATTGATTGAACAACTTGACCAAATTCAATAATCCTAATTTCTTTTGCACACACATATATGCATGAAAAAAATTCTATAACCATTACAAATTAATCAGTGCCTGGGGATTTGGTAAGTCTGCCTGCAAACGTACGTGTTTGTTTCTTTCCCAAATTCCTCTAGCGTTTACCTTCTATCTCTTGTTTCTTCATTTTTTGTTTACCCTAGATCAACTTTTTAGCCATTTATTTTTCACCATCTGTTTATAAATTAATGAAACACTATAATTTCCACTCAAATTAAATGATGCATGTTACATGAACTGACCAATTGCTCAAATAGCACTTTTTTATTTATTCTTTTCAAAATGATATAATATTTCTTTTCAAAATGATATAATACAGCTATTATCATCATTTTTTTTTTATCTTAATCTAATTTTCCTGTGTGTGGATTTATTTCTCAAAAAAACAACTTTTTCTAACAATAAATTTGATGTTAGGCTGACTAAAAGTAAGACAGTCATATAATTTTTTTAATAGATATGCAGTTGAAATATTATACTTTTAAAAAACAACATAAATAAAAGACTAAAAGTATGACATTTCATATAATTAAAACACATTTTTTTATTAAAAATGTATGATTTGTTGCTTCGTTTAACAAAAAATATATATTTTTAATGTCAAATCACATCGCACCTAATTTGCTAGCGATAAAATACAAAGTAGAAACTAAATAAGGGAAGCACAGAATCGAGGAGGAAGTTGTGTTTGACTTTTTAGCCCAGTGAGTGTGAGGAACAAGAAATTAATACCAAAGTAGACATCATAAAAGGCTGAGGTGAGGGGATGATCAGATCATACATATATATAAAAAATCAAGTCGAAAAAAGTTATTATTGCCCTTTCCTAGACACCAATTTTCCCCCTCAACAAAAAATGAACTAATTAATATTACCTGTAAAACACACACATGTGGGCCGGGTCTCTGTGTGTGTAAAAGTGTAAGTCCAAGAAACAAAGATCCAACCCAATAGAAACCAGTCTGTGACTATATATGTATGAGTAGTCTTTGTTGAAGATATATATGTGGATTTTTCTTTTTTCTTTATTTTTATTTTTTGTTAAATAATATACTTTCTGTCTAGAGGGATTTGGGGGTTTCCTTTTTGGATCAAGATCAAATCATGAGACTGCATACTATGACCATAAATCATAATTCTAGATTTATTTATTTATGTTATTCATTTCTTTGGTAGGACTCCAAGATTTACACAGTTTGATCATATTATAACAAGTGGGACAAGTCCTGCTTTGAAACATTGATAAATTAATATTATTATAAGTTATGTATCTGTAGTATAATATGATTAAAGTCTTCATGTACCCTCAATTTCATAGATAAAATGAACTAGCCCGAGAAGAGTGAATGATACTTTGTTTAATCGTTTTATGTCTATTTAATAGGGCTATATTTATTCATCTTTGGTCTACTTCATTTTACCAATCCATTTAGGGGTTTTTTTGAAGACTACTTAGTCTATTTTGGGTCTAGCCGCTACAAGTAGACTGTTATCATTAGGGTTATATATGCTTCTTCTTTTTTTTTTTTTCATAGAATTCAGTGGTGCTCATGAGGTTGAAATAATCGTGACATTTTTAATCCATCTATTATTATCTCTTCACTTTCTTGTATAACATAAAATCTTATTTCTAACCAAAATTATCCAAGAACAGATCAATTTAAAAAATTATGGGATTAATATAAACTAATTTAGTATCCAGATTTATAAGAATATGACTTCTCAAATTTTCCCAAAAAGCAACACAACTATTGTCGGTCTCCCTTTTGGGAGTATTGTGTTTAGTTTACCAAGTCTAGTGCGTTTGACTCGGGATTTCCTTGTAGGAGCCTTCTTTTCCTTTGTGTTTGATATTTCAAATATAAATGTACTAAATATTGTCAGTGGGCAATCAATTGTAATCTTTTGGAAGCTTTTTTGGTAAA